AACTTTGCAGGCCATAAGGGAGTTGCAAGAAATATTCAAAGTGATGAATACCAAGAACCTACAACCATGACTACTTTATCCAGCAAAGCTATCATTCAGAATTAAAGGTCAAATAAAGAGCTTCAGAGATAAGGAAAAGCGAAAGGAGTTCATCACCACCAAACCAGTATTAAATGAAATGCTGAAAGGTATCCTTTAAGAAGAGGAAGAAGAAGAAAGGTACAAATACAAATTATGAACAACAAATACACATCTATCAACAAGTGAATCTAAGAATCAAGTGAGTAAATAATCTGATGAACAGAATGAACTGGTGATTATAATAGAATCAGGGACATAGAAAGGGAATGGACTCACTATTCTTGGGGGGTAAGGGGTGTGGGGGGTGCGGGAAGAGACTGGACAAAAATCGTGCACCTATGGATGAGGACAATGGGTGGGGAGTGAGGGCGGAGAGTGGGGCGGGAACTGGGAGGAGGGGAGTTATGGGGGGGAAAAAGAGGAACAAATGTAATAATCTGAACAATAAAGATTTAATTTTTTTAAAAAAGAACTAAGTTAAACAAAGAAACAAAAAAGACAAAATGGGAAGTCAAAGAAACATGCCCCAAATGAAAAAAACACACAGCATAAGTCCCTAGAAAAATAACTAAATGAATTGGAGATAAGCAATCTACCAGATATAGGCTTAAATCAATGGCTATAAGGATGCTCAAGGAACTTAGGGGAAGAATGGATGAGCTAAGTAAGAACATAAAATGATAGTAAACATAAAAAAAAGACATAGAAACCATAAAAAAGAACCTGGCAGAAATGAAGAATATAACAGAAGGAATCAACAGTAGATTAGATGAAGCAGAGTATTGAATCAGCAATTTGTAAGACAAGGTAGCAAAAAACACCCAATCAAAACAATAAAAAGAAAAACAAAATGTTAATAAGGATAGTTTAAGAGACTTCTGGGACAACATGAAGTGTAACAACATCCACATCATAGGTACCAACACAAGAAGAAG